CACACACACACACACACACACACACACACACACACACACACACACACTTGCACACATTAATTCAGAGATTTAAAAAAAGACCCAGAAGAGGAGGATGAGAGCCCTACATCCTCCTGTGTCTTCCTCTTCATCTCCGAAGCCCAGAAATCACAGAGCAGACGTCACCTCCCCCTCCCCCGAGCACTGCCAACCCGTTCAGATTCTCCTCCCTTGATTTTCAACCACAGCTATAATCATCATCAAAAACTAGCGTTCATTATTGTTGTTATTACATTTTTAAAAAGTGCAAAATGAACTTTCCCCCCGTGCCTCATTGACAAGGCAGGGCAGTAGAGGATGGGGAAACAATGGCAGTAAGAAGAGCAAATAGAGCGCAGGAAGGGAAAGAGAAAAGAGAAGAAGTTTCATTTTTCTGCTGAAGTTGAATCGTGGTTGAATCCCGTGAACGCACCGCCAGGCGTTGTGCAGTCACCCGGTGGTGACGGACGAGCCGCCAGCTCCAAGGCAGAGCACAGGGTAGCAACTCAGAGCGTCCTTAAACTAAAAGGAAGTGTGTGTGTGCATGAGCACAAACGTCACACTTTGCTTTTTGCCTCCATTTTTTTAATGTTAACATCGGAAGATTCAAATCTGTCTCCTCAGTTGGCGTTGCAGTGAAAAGTGACATCATGGTATCTCGGGATGGAAGGGTTGTTTTTTTTTTCTTGTTTCTTTGTTGTTGTTTATAACTTCTGTTTTCTCTCTCCGCGTCAAGGTGTCTATGTCTGGGGGAAAAAAAACAGGAGATCGTGCTCCCACTTTCCCAGCTTTGGAAACTTCAGTTCTGTTTAGTTTTTTGTTTTGCTTGTTTGTTTGTTTTTTTTATTGTAATTTATATATATATATATATTTAAATCTCTATTTTTGTTGGAGCTACAGCACAGCACCCACAGCACGCAGACGACAAGGAAGGCTCCGGAGGAGGGGCGTCGTGGGGAGGGAGGGGAGCAAAGTAAGTCACTAATATTGTGCCAGAAGAGGAGAAGAGAAAGAAGAGAAGGAGGGGAGAAAAGAGGAGGGAAGCGACAGCATTATGAACAACTTCATCCTGAGTTCAGCTTGTTTCATCACAAACACAATTACCGATCCACTTCCAGTAACTTCAGCTGAACATTGAACCGCTTTTAAATAAAAATAAAGGAGGGACTTGATGCAGAAGATAGAGCATTATACACTTGAGACAGATGATGAGAACAAAGTGGTGTATATATAAAAAAAGAGGTAGGAAAAAACAGACAGACAGATTTAGGGGAAGTTTCGCCAGTCTATRTGCCTAATATTTTAAGATGCGTATGTACATAAAGGTACATTATGAATAAAATGCACAATTCATTCAGTAGGATTAAATTAGATTAGATCGATACCAAAGATTCACTGTGATCCCATGGGACTGGCACCTTTAATAGGTCAGGCTCTGCTTTGAAGTTCAGAGCGAAGGGATCGACAAAAAAAAAAACTGATTATCAGACCTCCGTAGGAAAAGTGCATCAGGACAGAGAGACAGACAGACAGAAACAGGGGGACCAGTTGGCAAAGACACGGCAGCACAAGAGGAGAGAGGAATGTAGAGACAGAAGTGGAGGAGGAAATAGAAATTCCGAAAGAAAAGAGAGAAGAGTTTAAAGGTTTAAGAGAGCAGATGGCTAATTGTACCCGTGTTTCGCAGCCTGGCAGCAAGTCAGTCTTGTGCATAAGGACGGGAGCAGGAGGAGGGGGAGAGAAGGGGGGTGTGGCTAGGAGACAGGAAGTGGCCATGGAGGAAGCTGGGTGGCGCGATCAGGCCTTGAGAGCGTGCCACTGGGCGACGTTAGTGCGCGGCCGAGCGAGCATGTCTTTCCAGTGTTTTACTTCCGCCGGTCCACTCTTCCACGATAGGTAGATCTGAGGGCAGGGAGGAAGAGACAAGGTGATCGTGTGCGCTTCGTGAAACCAGCTCCAAACTACCAAAACCATGAAAAAACAAGTGCCATCTCTCTGTTCTGCTCTCTTSCACGTGTCGTTAATGTAAGTGTCGATGCCTTCAGGATGACAGGAGTCACGATCTGCATGCAGCGTTTGGCATCGGCTATATTAGCATGAGTTGTAGCACCGCTGAAGAGCAACAATGAGTTGGAAAGCAAGGAAATGAATCAAGAATAATGGTTCACTCACAGGCTGCACCACCAACGAGGTTTAAATGTATTTTCGTGTCATGTAAATGAATGACACCTGCAGTCGCAGTCACTCAAATGTAACCTTCCCTTTCCTTAAAAAATACAAGCTTTAACCCAGAGATGTGCTTCAAAATATTCTGCCTTTACTCATTGAATGAAGAAACAAAATGAATGAGAGAAAGGTTTGGCTTGTGTTCAGAAGAATGGTAAAGGATGGAGAGTAGTTTCAGTGTTAAAGTGATGTTTTTAGCCACAGGAAGACCTAACCGTACTTAGCCGATTAAAAGGCAGGCACATTTGTGGGCAGCACAGTTTTGTGACACTTGACTCTAGAGGGCTATGTGTTAATGTACTTTAGCACTCTCTGTGAAGCAAAATGGGATTGTTTTTCACAGCAAGATTGCTTTTTTCAGCACAGGGTCAGCAGACCATAGAAGGATGTTGGCCAGATAATCTTAAAAACTACTATGCAATTTGGGTCTGCAGCGAAAACAAGCCTTCAATCAACTATTTCTCTAATGACCTAAAATCCGTGTGTTTCTAATTGACTGAATAACCGTAATATCTGGTTTATAACAGTATTTGACAAAAATGTGTCAACAAAACATGCTTCAGAATAAATTTGAACGGGTGCTAGAGGGTTCTGAGTCCCTTCCTCTTCCTGCTAATGACTTAAATACACCTGCCTGTAAACCTTTGCCCAACTGCGAGGCTCTAACCCTCCAATTTTCCACAAAAATAATAAGTAGACTGTAAAATGCATGATTGTTTAATTGCCCATGACATCAATTATTTTAATAAATATAACACTGCAAACATATTTCAAAAAATATATAAATTCATGCAGCTGAGATGTACAGTTGTTGAGATATTTACATGTGAAGTAACAGGAAGTGATGCCAACGTGGAGCTGAACAGAGCATTGTAAGGCTAATGGTGCGTTCACACCGAACGCGATTTCAGCTTCAAAATCGCAGCCAACGCTGAAGTTTGAAGCTTGTGCACTTTGAGGTCAGACGCAGGACAGCTGCGCTGCACGGCGACAGCCTCCCCGCCCCTCCCTCCTCTGTGGGGCTGTTTAATGTCGGACGAGGAAGTGGCTTTGCTTTATTTACAGACAGCCAGAACGTGTCACGTTCATCAGATAATTAATTCATAATTAATTCACCAGATAATTCAGAGAAGAGGCTCACAGCTGCTTTCAGGACTATTTTTCCAGTCTGATGAGTCGCTGCCACGCATTGCTGCGGATCAGGACACGACTGCAGGCACTCATTTTAGCTAAAGAGCAGGAGCTCTGTCTGTTTCAGGTTAGTGGACCTCATTCAGTAAACTGTCCCGTCGGGAAATATGTCGCTACGTCACACAGTGGAGTCTCTCTGATTGGTTGACGCTGCGCGTCGAGCTGCAAAAGTTCAGATTTTCTAACTTCAGCGATTTGGACGATTTGGACGATCTGAGCGTTCGACGCTCAGATCGTCCAAATCGTTCAAATCGCGCTGCTCTAATCGCGCTTGAGGCGCCGCAGAACTTCCCGACGTTGCTTGAAGCGCGTCCACCATAGACTTTGTATGTAAACCTGCTGCTCCTGACGCTGAAATCGCGTTTGGTGTGAACGCACCATTAAGAATACAATACAACAGATTATAGAGAAGAATTTGATGTCTCTTTTGATTACTTTGACTCACTGACAGAAAAACATGAAGAAGAGTCAATGTTCAAATAATAATGTTTGAATAAACAAAGACCAGGGAGTTCTTTTTCCTAAAGAGTTCCCCTTTGATGTCACTTCCTGCTTTATTTAGACTGAGCCAAGTTCAAAAGAAAATATGATAGATTTCTGACAAAATGGGTAAAATCATGTGTATTATGCCAAGTTTCTTAAATATCAAGATGTTTTCTGTGACTTTTTCTGTTAGAAAGATATGCATGTCACATGCAAAAACTAATTGGCCTAATCTGTTGTCCTGATTTGTAAAGATCAGCATCGACCACTGAAGAATCAGTCAGCTTCTTTGTAGTGCAGTCAAAACCCAAATTAGCATGAAAATACACAAAGTAAAACTGTCATCAAAATTGTCAGAGTACAGTTTTTGCGTGGATTTAGTCACTTTACTGCACGACAAAGAGCTGAAAACAGTTTTGTGCATGCTGCTGAGAGCCACTACGTTACCTTCCCGATAACATCGTTGCGGCTGAGCCTGTCCTTGTCCATGACGGTGATGATGATGGTGGTCTCCCTCAGCACATGTGCGGGGACATCGAAGGGGAAGGACTCGTTGAAAACGGGATTCAAGCAGCGCTTCATCACCACTGTCTTCTTCTTTTCTACACGCTTGTCCTTGTGCATGAGCCACACCTTCACGTAGGGATCTGCCAGAAGAAGTGCAGAGCCAGGATGTTTACACAAGAGCGACCGCAAAGATGCCCATGGATAGCCATTCTTTGGGGCCAGGTTTGCAATTACCCTTTGATTGTTAAAAGTCAGGAAAGGCAGCGGGGAAGCGGAAACCTCATTCGAGCTCAAGGTTAACCTATTCCCTGAGCTAGGAAACACACAAATGAGTGAGTATTATTGGAAACTGGGCCTAGGATTTGTGCTCAAAGTTCTGGAACAAAATTTATATTTGGTAAGTGCTACAGCACCAAGTAGTGAAAGAAACTTCAATTTTTCCAAAAGGTCAGCATAGAGAACCTTCTGAAGAAGAAATTAATACTTTAAAAACTAGAAAGCACCAGTCTGTGCTGAAGTATATTTTAACTGTGAGGCCCTCATAGATATACAACAAGATAGAGGACGTCAGAGAGGTACTTGAAGTAATGTCACCTTGCTGTTGCAGCGGTGTACAGTGGACAGTACCTGTCCTCTGCACAGATTAGTCAGTAAATGGTAGTAAACTAAGGCAAAGCCATGTAAAGTTATAGGTAAAGAATCTTCTGATTTGTGTTTATTCTATATAAAGACATAAGAAAAACAATCTGGTGATTCTGCAGTATTCTGTTGTTTAAACTTAACCTCAAGTGTACAAAAATACACAGTAGATCACATCCCATTATGTTAAAGGTATCATACCATGCTTTTAAATCCTTCTTTTTCACGTCTAAATCATTCACTTATTGTCTATTTAAAATAAAACTGCAACACTTTGGTCTTAATTCCTCGTTTTTGTTGCTCCACAGACTCCTTGCTTTCCTTGCTTTACATCTGTTCTGAGTTGCGCCTCAGATCAAGCTGTTTTGGTGCGGTCTCTTTAAATACTAATAAGATATTTCACACCCCGCCCCCTCCAGGTCGCTGAGCGTTCGACTCCACCCCGTTCGGCCATATTTGTAGTTTCATAGCAAAAACACAGTTATCTACCGACTAAAAACTGTTTTTAAGATCATTTTGTTGCAACATTTAAGATTTAATGTTTACGTTTAGATTTACATGATTTGATTAAGGATTTAAATATTTCACGTAAAATATTTAACATTTATTTTAAACATTTAATAAAAATTGGCAAAATGTGAGCTAAATAATAAAATGTTAGTGGAATATTTTACCTAGGATTTTACACTCAGAAAGTGAGCCAAGTAATAAAACGTGTGAAATGTTTTTAACATTTTATTTTGCATTTGGTTCCGCATATGAATGAAACAGAATTTCTGGTACGATATTCTTTGGACAGATAAGACCAAAGATGTTTGATGAAAAAGCAGACATAAACACTTCATACTTACAGTCAAGCAGAGTGGAGGGGTGTTGACCTGTTGACAACTAAATTTTTGCTTGTTTTTGTATCTGGGCACCAAGAATTTCTCTGTATACCAAAGTATTATAGAGTCAAATATGAGACCATCTGTCTGCCAGCTAAAGCTTGGACCAAACTGAGTCATGTCACAGGACAATGATCTCAAACACAGCAGTAAAACAGAAGAGCAGAATAAAAAGAGAAGAATCAGCATGTTACACTGGCCCACTCAAAGTCCAGAGCTCAACCTGTTTGAAAAGCTGTGCTTTAGAGATATCTGCAGAAATGAATATCTGCAAATATCAGTTAAATAAAATCTCATAAAGAAAATATCGCTTAAGTATTTCAAGAAACTCCACAGTGATGTTAAAAATGTATGTACCGGTAAGTAAAATATCACCATATGTGTCTGCTGGAGAACGCTGTATGAGGCTAGCATGAATGCTACAAGTAAAGCTAGCAAGTGAAACTAACCAATACCATTTCATAGTGACAATATAATTTTCCTGTGAATACTTTCTAAAAACCCATCAAATCTGGTTAAAAGCCCAAATTTTAACAACTCCACCCAAAGCTGTTTTTTCCAGCCCAGCGTGTTCAAAAGAAGCCCAGTTGGGTGGAAAATCAACCAGGCAACACTGATGGTTGCACATTCTTTCGGACAAACTCAGCTTGTCCCAGTGCTCAAATCCAGCTGTAGCCTGCACCTTAGCTTGGGGCTGTATCCTGAGTCACTGTTACAAGTACTGTAGAACATTGTTTTTTGGTCCTCCCGGTGTAGTTTCAAGCTATTTTCAAGAATTTATTTTATGTTTAAACACAGCTAAAGAGACGCACTGTGATGAAGCTCCTCTGCCAGTTTGTATGCACACTGGTGTCGAGCGGACTCATGTGTTCTAGTGTTCTAAAAGTAGCCTGAGTGGAGGTCCCCATTGAAACAGGGTGGGCCTTTTGTTTTTAGTATTGTTCGTTGAAACTCAAATTCATGACAAAGGCCATCACACTCAGGTTTGAGAGGGAAAAGAGTGACCAAACACAGAAGAGTCACTACCTGAAGTGCCCCCGATATCCATGGCTTTAAGATGACGTGCTTTAATAATGTTCACAGTGATGGTGTTGGCAGTGGGATTATAGCAGAGAGACACCAGCAGGTCTCCTCGTCTCCCCTGAAAAAAAAAAAACACAAACACAATAGGAGTATGACTCATCAGATTTAATCAGGGGATATCTAACGTCACATTACTCACTGACTTGCTGTGTAATGTTATATCACTGCCCTTTCTGCCTTAACTCCTTGTGCCAAATACAGATGGTCCGGTGACCAGGCTGGCTTAGCTAAGATCGTTGTTCACCCAAAAATCTTGTCAAACAGGCTGAGAGCTGTGACCAAATGTGTCACACTTGTTTTTTTTTAAATAAACAACACAGGAATTAAAAGAGTGCACTGGTCACGGTCCTGCCTTAGTGACCATTGCTTCGTCTCTTACGCTGCCATCACTGCAGGGCTTGAGCTCCTTCCAGAAGGTCTTCAGCTGGCCCAGTTCCACCTTGTTTAGAGGGATTGACACTTCTCCAATGGGGTCGTTTCTGCTGAAGCGATCGTAGTCCAGCACCTGGAGGTAGAGGGTGCGCTCTCTCACCTTCTCATAAGGGAAGCCTGAAACGGACACACAAACAGACGACACTGCAGGGGGCTGCAGAGGGACGGCAAAGTCACAGATTGTGGAAAGGCATGTTCCTGACAGCGCAGAGAGGGCAGTGTAAAAGTGCAACACGCTACCAGCAATGACTCTGGCAAAGGCCAAAGTGTGCGACAAAACCTGTTAGCCTGCCTGTGCTCTTTTAAATGACCCAGAGGGATTGTTATGCTGAGATACTTTCTCTCTCACATACACACACAGCCATCTCATTCATTTTTTTAGGGCTCAGGATATTCTCACAGGAAAGGCTCAGACTATTTTTAACAATTTTGTCTGTTTTATCACTACAGAGACACCATAATGATCACAGAAAGTCGTTTATACAGGAATAACTCTTCTGTATCTCAATAGCACCTGCAGCTTGCAAAAAAAATCATCACTTAACACAAAAATGTTTAGTTTCTTAAGCTGGGTTTTATCAATAAAAAAAGGTTCTGATGTCACAACATAATTGAATTTTCGCATGACTTGCATAGTGCCCTTTTTGGTAGAGAAAAGGTTTTTTTCTATTAACAAAATGACAAGCTTATTGTGTGGGAGCTTTATGTCTGCAATTCTACGTTTAAAAGAGCAATTTATGAAAAGATCTAGTTCTACATTTGTAATACGTTTCATGATTTACTGGAAGAGATTTAAAGGAAGATAAAAATGAACATTGCTACAAATTCTTGACTGATAATTCACTTTGTTTTCAAGTTGATCCCTAAAACTGCCCAGATGTCTTTTAAAACAAAGTTGATGGCTTATTGTGAGAATCTCTCCCTGGTGTTTAGAATAAAAATGTGATTTAACATACAGTAATTCTGTGGTTTGAGGGTTGTCAATATGGCTATGGTAAGTATATTAATAGAATAATAACATTAGTAAGAATATTTCCTTCTGTGTACACTGAGGGTCTTTGAGAGATGCCACACACTGGTGGATAGTGTATACCTCAGCTTGAGACACAGTTGCAAAATAACCTAGTGGGTATATGTACTCTTACTCACTAGTTGTGCAAAATCAGCAACCCTGCACCTACTGGCCCTTCAAGAAGGGATCTATCTGTAAAACAATAGAAATGAGAATCAGCAGTTCCCCAAGTTGAGGTTGGGACCTCCACTATGTGGTCATAAAACACCAACTAATGGGTTTGAAATGATTTCCTAAAATAAAATAAAATTTAAAATAAATGCTGCTAACGCTGTTTCTATTATAGTTTATTAAGTTCGTTTTTAATTGACCTAATAGCCGTTTGTGACATTGTTTTCATTCAGCCGAAGAAATCCTGTTCATAAATCTTTTCTGCTGTTGATTGGAGGGTCAATGCTTTAGACCAAGTTTATGTCTGATCATATAAAGGCAATGATATGGGTACTCAATTTCTAAGTGAACAATGAATAATGATTTAAAACCAATAAATCACTGCTTATTAAAAACAGTTGTAACTTGAGAATTCTACAAATCCGAAATGGCTCTAGCATTTGTGGTTTTATTTTGTTTTTGTACACATTAAATAAATAAATAAATAAATAAATAAATAAATAAATAAATAAATAAATAAATAAAGTGAGAGTTGGACTCCGCCAAGGCTGCCCTTTGTCACCGATTCTGTTCATTACTTTCATGGACAGAATTTCTAGGCGCAGCCGAGGTGTTGAGGGGATCCGTTTTGGTGGCCTTAGGATCGCATCTCTGCTTTTTGCGGATGATGTGGTCCTGTTGGCTTCATCGGAACGAGATCTGCAGCTCTCGCTGGAGCGGTTCGCGGCCGAGTGCGAAGCAGCCGGGATGAGGCTCAGTGCCTCCAAATCCGAGGCCATGGTCTTGAGCCGGAAAAGGGCAGAGTGCCTTCTCCGGGTCAGTGGGGTCGCCCTGTCTCAAGTGGAGGAGTTTAAGTCTCTGGGGATCTTGTTCACGAATGGGGGAAGAACGGAGCGGGAGATCGACAGGCGGATTGACGCAGCGTCTGCTGTAAAGCGGGCGCTGTACCGGTCCGTCATGGTGAAGAGAGAGCTGAGTCAGAAAGCGAAGCTCTCGATTTACCGGTCGATCTACGTTCCTACCCTCATCTATGGTCATGAGCTTTGGGTCATGACCGAAAGAACGAGGTCCCGGATACAAGCGGCCGAAATGAGTTTCCTCCGCAGGGAGGCTGGGCTCTCCCTTAGAGATAGGGTGAGAAGCTCGGTCATCCGGGAGGGACTCAGAGTAGAGCCACTGCTCCTCCACGTCGAGAGGAGCCAGTTGAGGTGGCTCGGGCATCTGGTAAGGATGCCTCCTGGACGCCTCCCTGGTGAGGTATTCCGGGCACGTCCCACCGGGAGGAGGCCCCGAGGAAGACCCAGGACACGCTGGAGGGACTATGTCTCTTGGCTGGCCTGGGAACGCTTTGGAGTTCCCCCGGAGGAGCTGGAAGAAGTGGCTGGGGAGAGGGAGGTCTGGGCCTCCCTTCTGAAGCTGCTGCCCCCGCGACCCGACTCCGGATAGGCGGAAGAAAATGGATGGATGGATGGATAAACAAATAAATAAATAAATAAATAAAATCTGTCCTCTGGAGAAAATGGACAAAATTCAACGTATTTACAAGCATGAATACAACTCTTTGATGGCTGGAAATGAGAGAGACCTTCAAAGAGGAAGGTTTCGTTCCAGTGGGGGTTAAGGTTCTTCCTCTTGACCTTGGTCTCCAGCTTGTGCTTCTTGTCAGGTAGCAGGTAGATTTTCACAAAAGGGTCCGAGGTGCCGGAGAAGTCTTTGGCCGGGAGGTCCTGGCCCCTGAGAACTTTGACGGTGAGGGTCGTGTTTTGGAAACTGTAGCCTATGCTGAACTGGATCCGGCCCAGCTTCTCACTGACGGGCCCTTCGCCGTCATCATCCTCTGAACCTGGAGACAGCTGCAAGATTTTAAAAAAAGGCAGATAAATGAGTTCAAACACTCACACATACGGCAGTAGCAGTCAYTCAAGTGAAAAGTTCAGTCCAAGGGCAGACACTTTTTGTATCGCAAAGCACATGCACACAGACCTTGGTGGAGAGTAGCAGTGAGGGCTGGGTGGGGGGGGAACCAGGTTTCATAGCCGTATTTCTCTCACAGCAGCAGCTCACACACAGAGATTGGTCTGATGTTACGAAGACTGAGAGTTTAATTTCCTTACTAATGTTCTTAAGAGACAGGAGGTGCTCAGATTTGAAGATATAGAGCTTTAGACCACCCATTCTCTCTCACACAGGCACTCTGACTGCTTTATCATTGCCGTGCACTAAAAGGCTGATATCTGATAAAAGCAGCAGATGGGAGGGAAAGTCAGAACAGGAGACAAACAGGAAAAAAAGGGAGAGAGAGAGAGAGAGAGAGAGAGAGAGAGAGAGAGAGAGAGAGAGAGAGAGAGAGAATTGCATGGGAAGGATGGAGAGAACAGGAAAACACAGCTCAAGGTTGGCTTTCTGCACTTGAAACTGTCTTCCACCAATTTTCTCCTTATAGCTCAACCTTCCATCTTTGATTACCCCCACCCCCTTGTATAGTTCTTTTTTGGGGGGAGTGGGGGGTGCTTTAAGTCAGAGCTATGGGACAAACACCCACTCAGTATTTACCAATATGAGGTTCAGAACAGGAGGAGCAAGCGGGGAATATTTCAACTCTAATTTGTCAAACAGTGTGAGTCACCTTGGATGGCTTGTCTTGCTTGATTGCCACGGTGGGAACTGCCTGTTATTTTTCCCTCCAATTAGACTCCCTCATTACCATCCCCAGCTTTAGATCAACCTACCGTTTGTGACTGAAAGGATTTTGTTTATTTTGTTTTACTGGTCACTTGAAACTGCTGTATATCATAAAACAATGAGACTCCTTCAGTTTTCAGGTGTACGTAATCAATACCCGATTAACACTGATTTAACAGGATAGAACAAGTCATTCATTACCTCAACAAATAATGTTGGTTTACTTGTTAGTACCTGACATTCAGCACACAGTGTTGGTAGGGAATGAACTAATGAGAGAGGTGAAGCAACGCCATCTTGGTTATGCTGCACCGTTGTATTATCTTTGGGTTCAGTTAGTATTTTACACTCAAAAGTAAATCCAAAACAGGGAATAAATACAATTAACTAGGTATGCAGCCTTGTGAAAAAAATCAGGAGTCATCCCTTATTTCCTTATTTCTTTCCAATAAGCCAGACTGTCTTCTAAAGTCATCTTGATCAATATTTCTGCAGGCTTATTTTGTCTGTTTTTTACTCATTTTCAGCCTAACACTGAACACCAGAATTTGAACTTTGTGCTAACTTACTCTGATGGCATTAACTTGGCCTCCAGCACTGATTTAAAGGAGACATACTGTGCTTTTACATCATTCCTTTTCATATTTAAAACATTCAGTTTTGGTCTATATAAAGTGGAACTGCAATGCTTTAGTCCTCGTTATTGTAACTCTATAAGCCCCGTCTTTCACTTCTGTTCCAAGGCGTTTCCCCGATCAACTTGTTTTGTCTTTTTAAATGCAAATGATGAACTTCAGACCACACCTCGTTTGGTCATTTTTTGTAGTTTGATAGCAGCTATATGATTATCTAGCGGCACAGAAACTTTTTACTAACAAAAAATAATTAAAAGATGTCAACAAGAGAAGACTTGTCCATCCAGCCTTACATGTTGGAGACAGAGTCTGACCCAGAGCCGGAGGAGGATGAAAATGACAAATCTGAAAATCTACGCAGCTGAGGATTCACAAAATTGGTTAGCTGGAAATCCATGACCTTGTTTAGCAGTTCTGCAGTATATACTGTGATATTACTGTTCAAAATACCTAATAGGGAGTAGAGATACGACCCAAACACAATATTAAAATATCCACGCATTACTGGAAGAGACAAAAGTCAAATTTTCTGCACTTATAGTACACAACAAAATGTATTTAAGAACTAAAATATTTGGGGGGATTTTGCACGATATGTCTCCTTTAAAGAAGCTTCCCACATAGCAGATAGGCATGGACCAGGTCTGGTATCAAGCTGGCACTGCTGGCTGACTGCTGGCATGGCACGTGGCTTGTCAAAAGGATGTGGGCCAGATCTGGTTTAATGATTGTATGCCACAACTGACCCAGTTGTGGTTTGGTTTATGTGGTGCTGGCCCTTGCATAGACCAYCTCAGGCAAATTACATCTGGGCCACCAAAAGGCCGTCATTCTTTGTGGTATCTCTGTCATGTGTTAGAGTGTTGGTGTGTTGTGACCAGGATAGGTTCTGTACCTCCACATGTAAAACACATCGTCTCAAAATATTTCACTTAACTATGTATTTTTCATATCTAGGCCAGACAGAATGTGAAGGTACARGGTGTCTTACCATCACCATGTCTCCAGTAAGAGAGTTGGCCAGGTCGGTTACAGAGGAGTGGCCATCTGCATCGGGTGGCTGGCCCTTTGGGCTGTTAGCTGGCTTGTTGCCCCTGAAAGCACAAACTGAGGTTGACAAAAAGAAAAAACTTGCCCGAACATGTGCTGAGAGCTTTAACTCATCTACAGAAAGAGAGAATGTCTGAGCGCGCGGGGAGTCCAACCTCCACCTGTTTAGCAGCTGAAAACAGCCTGTCTTAAACAATCAAATCTGTCCCAGTTTACTTTGGATAGATGTCACTTCAAAGGGAAATGTGCTTTCTGCAGATATTGTTAGCGAAGCCAAATATAAGCTGCCAAAAGTTCCACAGATTAATGGTGGGCGCTACACCTGAGGACAGTTGATGTAGAGAGATGCGATAGCTGAGAGTTTGAGCCTGAAATGACTGAAAATGTGTCCAGTTTGGCAAAACATCTAAAATAAACACATTTTTAGACAGAACGCAAAAAGATTAATTAAAAAAACAGAGCTGCTAAACTTAGAAACTGATCTTTAATCCCCCAATCCTTGGACAGTTTACGATCAACATTTAATCCCTCTGAAGATGAGACACACATGYATAATGACTTGTACAGAAACATGACATTACTAAAACAGCATTGGACGACATGTATAGCAACGTGAAGAAGACAGACGTGTTTTTCAATTTCTCTCAGCTGCTTCGACGACACAAAAACGCCTTTTTTTTAAAGACGAAAAGGAGAGAGCAGAGATCTCCGAGGGCGCAGCTGGCACTGAGACACAAACATTAGTAGATGTTAAGTTTAAATCCTGTACATTGGGATGGCATAAACACTCTTAGAGAAAACCTCCTATGTTCATACATCTTGTAAAACAAGAATCACAAAGTGTACAAAAAACAAAACAAAGGAAAAGCAGAAAATAAGACAAAGTATCAAAAAGAGAAGCACAATCGTGAGATTAAAGAATGCATGAGKAAGGGACAGAATAAAGAGGAGAAGTCTTTGTAAATGCAACATGATACAAAGGACGCACGGCAATTCTTAAAGATGACCGGTCAAAGCACATGAACACAGAAACACCATTAGGCAGGAAGTAAACGAGAACAGAAATACTGAGAAAGAGAGAAAACAAACAGACAGAGAGGATTCGGAAGTTGCAAACACATTGACAGAAATCATAAGGACTGTGAAAAGTACACAAGCAAGCTGATTTTTTTAAAATCTGTTTTTGAGGAGATAGCAARTATTAACAGCATGAAACAGTATGAAAACCAAAGAGAGAGTGCGATCATTACAAACACCAGCACATTAGAGAGAAAGAGAGAGAGAGAAAAAACTGAGCTGCAAGAAAAGATAGGGAATGAAGGAAGGAAGGAAAGCCTGCAAACACAAGAGAGGCTTAGTTTGGTCAGTCTGATAAGTATCAAAGAATAAGAGACAAAAATAAAGAGCTACGCACACATTTTAACAGSAGACAAAAGAGGCAAACATGCTGGAAGGAGAAAAAAGCACAAACAACAAAAAAAGGAAAAAAGACAATAAATACAGTCGATCATCAGGATAAAGAGTACAAGAACCATCGTTTTTTGTTTTAAAGGAGAGCTCGAAAGAACTGATAAATGAGAGAGAATGAAAGAAGAAAGAAAGGGATATACTATACAAAACTAGAATATCACAGAAACACAGAACGGGACAAATAATAAGAACATAGGAAGAGCACATTTAGAGTGTTACAAAAGAGGACTTTTTCAGAAATTGACTACAGAGAATAAAGGTTGTTTTGAAACCAGCCGGATTTTTTCCAACCATTTAGCAACACTCTAAAAGTGTGGATTGGGAACACAGGGCCAAAAGCGCAAACTGGCATTGGCTACATGTGCATATATAATATATGCAAGTAGTTGTCACTCAGAAGAGAGTGAGGGCAATGCCTCGGACGGGCAAGAAACAAGGAGCCCATATAAAAAAAGTCTGTCTGTCTGGCCAGCATTCTCTGTCGAGCTTTCACTGAGAGAATGGTTTTTTTTGTTTGTGTGTTTTTTTGTAAGGAGCGCAAAGTACTGCGAATTTGGATGAGCGCTGATGCTGAATGCAGTAATGTATGCATTTCCTTTGCAAAAAAAGGACAACGACAATACTGGAGGAAACTATACTGACAAATAGACAGACAGAAAAAGCAAGCGAACAAGACAAGCAGACAATCACTTCAGCAGAAAGGAACCAGAGCGAGGCGGGGAGGAGTGTGTGTGTGTGTGTGTGTGTGTGTGTGT